AAAAAAAAAAACCTGATTCATTTGTAATATATAGGGCTGTTCAGCTGTTTAGATTTTAGTTGTAAATATCGTGAAAACCTTTCATTTTTTCCTCCCTTCTTAAGTGTAGTGTGTATGTCTTAATTGCCTCTTGTTCAATATTTCAAATAACGTTTTGCTGTAATTATATATAATCTGGGGTATTAAACAATAGACATCTGCGTCACTGTTTGATAGAATGCAAGCAGCCATCTTCACATCATCCCACTAATAGATTCAGGTCTTCATAACTCCACAGTATGATGCTGCCTTCCCAGTGTGGCTCTTTGTAGCTTCTCCAGAGTTTCCATGGGCCTCTTGGCTGCTTCTCTGATTGGTTAATTTGCTGGCCTGTCAAGGCTAAAGTAGTACTGGGCCTTTCTCAGATGTTTGAGGAAAACAAAATCTTAGTATTTTCTATCCACTGAACCGTTCAATCAGATAAGAACACAGTTTGTGGATATATGATGGCGCATTGGGGCTACTGTAGATGGAAAATAAAAATTCTGAAATTTTGGGATTTAACTCAGAAATTTTCTAGAAAAACCCAAGAACATTTTTGAGTTTCAAAAGTTTAACATTTTCAGCTTTTAGAACTCAAAAATGTTCTCCTTTTTTCCCGTTCTGTCTACAATGACCCCAGTATGCCGTCGTGGTGCTTGTAATGCGACACAATGTGAAAAAGTTCGACAGGTGTGAAAACTTTTGCAAGTCACCGACCTGTTTAAGTAAAATTACTCCTTTCACAGTGTATATTTGTGTTTGAGGCATAAGCGGCTGCCTTCCTGTTTTCTCCACACACTGGGACGTTCTCTGAGGTTTCTGCTCTCCAACGGACCAGGAGCGATTTGAAGTGACAGACTGTCCTCTGCTCCACTCGCTGTTTGATGCGTTGAGACGTTGCTGCATCTTTGCGCTCTCACACCTTTAAAGGCTGCGCTATTCTCTGTGAAAGACAGGAGGCATCCTGTATATTTATACACAGCGCCGCGGTGTTCCTCCTCACCGTGTATTTAGTTGTTGCTTGCCATATTGTTTGGATGTGAGGCTCTTCAAGAAGCAGAGCTGTACTGCATGTTCCCACAGCTTGCATGTGGAGTGTGCATGCGTCGCTGTTATAGGTGGCCCGTTGTTTTGCATGTGAATGTCAGTTGGGGGG